TCGGTCAATAATTGGTGATTTTAGTATTTCAACATTCAAATAACAAAATTAATATAATTTTGTTAATTTTTATTATAAATAGTTATTAATTATTATTAATTAAGTATTTAACTTTAATAAAATCCATTATAAATTGGTTTTAGTAGGTTTTTTATAGCTTAGTAAAAAAAAAGAAAACCTTAATCGGTCAATAATTGGTGCATTTACCCTATTTAGAAATATTTTTTTAGTTGTAATTTAATTAATAAAAAAAATCAAAAATTTTTACACGTCTTTTAACTTCAGTGTCAAAAAATACGGCTCAAAATTCAACAAAAAAATATTTTTTTTTTTTTTATGAAGAAAATTTCAAAGAAAAGTTTTGAAAAAAATTTTAGATAATTTTTTGAAAATTTTAGTGCAAAAAATACGTCTCAAAATTTAACAAAAAAATTGAATCTTGATAAATTAACATGCTTTTTTATATTTTATTTTTTTTCTCTTAAGAAAATTTTAAAGGAAAGTTTTGAAAAAAAATTTTAGGTCCTTATTTGGAGTATTTTAAAAATTTTAATGTAAAAAATACGGTTCAAAATTGTTTTCGTTTAATAATCTATTTGGTAAAAAAAATTAAAAATGTCAATTTTATTAGAATTAAAAAATGGCAAAAATTAACAGGCTCCAAATTTTATTTATTAAATAAATAGAAACTAATAAACCATGTTTGAAATTTTTTAAATAAAATATTTGTAGATTTCAATGAATTAATTTTATAAAAATTGACATTTATTAATTTTAAAAAATTTCTAGATCCAAAATTTTTTTATAAAAAAAAAATGATAAATATTAATGATAATTTAATACATACCACACAAAAAAATTGTTTAATATATTTAGCATCTTTTTCAGTAATATTAATGCAATCTCCATGGTACCATTCTTCACAGGCATCGCACCCTCTAAAAATAAATTACATTATTAATTTTTATAGCCAATTATTATAAAAAATATTTATTTAAAAATTCATTGATAATTTTTTAAAATTTCTACATGTAGAATTTTTTTGCTAAATTTTTTTAATTGTTCCTATTAAATAGAGTATCATTATTAACCTAAAAAAAATTTTATTATCATAATAATAATGAAATTTAAATAATAAATAAAAAAATACTTGCATCATAAAACGAGAACTGTCAGAACTGCGACAAATACAATAAGCTTGCCCATCTTGTTTTAATAAAGTTGCTATTTTACTTTTTCTCTCTGGTAGCATAAATTGCTTAGCAATTTCCTCTTTCTAAAATTAAAAAAAAATCATTTAATTAATTAAATTATTTATTATAATTTATAATATTTTTAATTTAAACTTACTGATAATCCATGTCTTTTTTTACTCATAATTATTTATTGTCTTGCAAATAATAAATAAAAAATTTTCATCACTATCCCGGTGTCTCAATGTTTACTTTATATACTTTTGCTTGTCATCCGCCATCTTGAAAATTTTTCTGATGGTAAAATCTATTTATTATTTTTTTACCATCACTATAGTTCAAATTAATCCAACAGATGGCGCCACAATAATGTTTGAATTTTTAAGCGGGATTATTTAAAATCTTTTTAATTTTTTTATTTATTAAATTAGAACTAAAAAATATTTTTTTAAAAATTATACTTAAGTTTTTTGAAAAAAAATTTTTCTTTTAATTTTTAGATAGATTATTTATTTTTTATTAAAAAATTATTTTAAAAAAAATTAAAAATGAAAAAAAAAATTATTAAATTATATTAAAAAATTAAAACTTCCCAGATTTAGTAAAATTTTTTTAATTCTCACCTTAAAAAAAATAATTAATAAAAAAACTAATTTTATAAATTATAATTTATTGAATTTTTATTATATATGATGAAAAATGTAAAATAAATTAATAATTAATAATTTAAAATTAATTTTATTTAGTAATTTTTATTATTTATATTATAAAATATATTGATAATATAGTCAATAAAGCCTAAAAAAGACAAAATATTAAAATTTAGTTCTAAAATTTTCTGTAAGATGGCGTTGCGCGCCGGATTAGGAACTACGTCACACTCCCGCCAAAATTCAAATCCAAAAAAAAATTTTTTTTAATTTAAACCTACCAATACAAAATTTTTAAGACCTGGTACATATTTATAATAAATTAAATAAAATTAAATATTAAAATGTCTTTATTAATTAAAATTCTAGTACAACACAATAAGGTTACAAAGTGTTTATTCAATATTCACACCAATTTGCAATAAAAAAAAATAAAAAGTACAGAATAAATGCACTCTTTGGTTCCGACATTTACATCAGTAAAATATTAACTAATAATATTAATAATAATAATAATAATAATAATAATAATAATAATAAAATAATATTACTTTACAATTAAATTAAATGAGTTTCCGAAATCCTCAACAATAAAAAATTACAATTACAACACTTATAGCTTTTTATAATTATAATTCTCATATTTATTTATCGGGACATACATTATCTATATGCACCTACGATATGATATATTTAGACAACATATATATGTAGATATATATTATCAATATATAAACTAATTGGTATAATTATAATTATTAATAATTAATAATGATAAATACATCCTAAAGTATCACATCAGTGAATAAATTGTAGTAATAAATTAATAATCATTTTCGTTTAATTGTTAAGTAATGCGATAAGTATGTAATCTGCAGATGGCGTATAACGGATCGAGAAAATTCGTACAAAAATTCCGTATAAATTTATAAAAATTACTTGTATCAGTCTTTGTATACTATTGAGTTGTAAAAATTTCGATACAAAAGTGAGCGTTGAAAAATATTTTTCTCCACTTTTTTTTTTTATGGAGATATTAAGCCTTGCCTTGAAACTACACAAAAAAATGTTAACTTGGACCTTAAAAAAAAAAAAAAAAAAAAATTAACCCAAGACTGGAATCGAACCCTGTCCAACTTAGTCTGTTGAAACCGAATGATACTACTTCGCCAATTTAAAATTTTTAACTACGAGCAAACGTAATTTTTTAACGAAATTTATTAACTACTCAATTTAAATAAAACAAATTTCTTGGTAGTATATTTAAAATTTTTTCCAAGATAACTTTTTTCTGCGCATGCCGAATAATTTCTCCCTCAAGATCCGCATCGATTATCAATATACAATTATACACAAACACACGTAAATCGTGCATCAGCTTCAAATGCATGTAGCGGTGAACAAGCACAAACAAAGCTTATTAATCCAGCCTCGCGTACCGGGGAACAATGTTCTTTTTAATCCAGAACTCGCAATTGTCCAAATTATTCTGAGGCAAGATATCTTGGCCAACAACAATTACAGTGCGTGAGCGCGGAACATTAGCTGCTTCGATCATTTTTTCGTTCCAAACAAATTGGTTAAACAATTGCTGAATTGCCGAGACGTGGCGCTTCTGTTCCGGCGTTCTGGCGGTGTAGGAACCCAAAATGGAGGCCACGTCGCTGTCTACGTCAGCAAGATGGCCGCGAGGCTGCGTGGAGAGGTAGAAGGGAACATCACGGTCCTCGTTGCTTAAAGAACGGGTCAAGTTCCAGAGAGGGCAGACCACGCGGATGTCAGAAATCATGCTCACGAATCCTTTTAAAGATGTGTTGTAACGCGAAATGGCTTCCTCGGCGATTCCTGTGGTTCCTAGGAGGGATTCACGGACTATTCCGGTGACTTGGGTAGATTCTATCGTCGCGTTGGGGTTACGGAATCTTTGGGGCGTTGCAGAGTGCGCTGTTGTTCCGAACATTGTTGGAATTGGTGGGCCATCTCGTTGCAGAACCTGGAATTAATGTAAGTTTTAATAAATAATTTAATTATTATATTTTTTATACTGTATTGATGTTTAGAATCAATGGAAAATTTTTTTTGTTAAAATTCAATTGACAAAAATTATATTAAAATTCAATTTTAATTTATTTAATGTTATTATACTGAATTTGATTAATAAATAATATTAAAAATTTAATTAAAATATTTTATACTCTATTGGCGTTAAAAATGAATATCATTATTTTTCAGTTACTAGATGACCTTGAAAATTTATTTAAAAAATTTTTAATGCTGCATTGACGTTCATAATTAATGTAAATATTTTTTTTTTAATATTAATTTTGTATAACAAAATAGAGAAAAAATATTGTATAAGTTAGTTTTAAATTAAAAAGTATTTTTTTGAATTTGAATTTTGGCGGGAAAGTGACGTAGTACCTTTTCCGGTGCGCAACGCCATCTTACAGAAAATTTCGGAACTAAATTTTCAATTTTCGTCTTTTTAAGGCTTTATCGACTATATTATTAATATATTTTATATTTTTTTATCATAAATAGTACAAATTACTTAATAAAATTCATTTTTAACTAATTGTAATTTTTCTAAATTTGAATTTTGGCGGGAGTATGACGTAGTACTTTTTCCGGTACGCAACGCCATCTTACAGAAAATTTAGGAACTAAAATTTAAATTTTCGTCTTTTTAAGGCTTTTTTATATTATAAATTGCAATATTGCAAAATCTTACCTGCAGAATATCTTCCTGAACAATAACCCCATCATTAACAATCCACTCGTGCCTCCACTCAGCAGAAGAAGCTTCCCTAGGTTCAGGAAGTCCAATATCATGCTGATACCAATTCTGCGGCACCGCCTCAATGATACTCTCCGCAGTCTTGGTCCTGAGACAAGAGATATCCCTGCACTGGATATTATTCAAAAAGGACTCAGCCATCCTCTCTGAAGCATTAAGGGGCTTAGTGGGGAACATGACACTCCCTGAGGAGATCCAAGCTCTGGAGAACAATTTCTTCTCCTTATCAGTCTCCTTTCCAGGCCTGGAGGCTAATAAAGCAGCAACTAAGGTTCCTCCGGCTCTATGGCCCCAAACTGTGACTTTATCCTTATCTCCTCCAAAGTGCTGGATGTTAAGCTGGACCCACTTGAGCACGGCAATAATATCCGACAGTCCGTAGTTTCCAGAAGTCTGGGGGTAGCTGGAGCGAGTCAGCGGTTCCGCGGCCAGGAACCCGAAGACACCTAACCTGAAGTTCGGACGGACGAAGACCATATCACGGACTCGGGCGAGTTTTGCCGAAGGCTGCATCACTCCCGGAGAGCCTCCGGATAAAGAGTCTGCGCCAATCATCACCACAACTGGAAGCGGGTTGTAGTACCTCACTTGAGGCGTGAAGATGTCTAGATAAAGACAATCTTCCGAGCCTGAGACTTTTCCCGAGGGGTCGCGCTGCCAGCAGAACTCTGAAGAATTGTGCGCCAAGTAAGTTCCGTTCCAGCAAGACTCTATCTTGTGGATCGACTCCGCGGGCTTCCAACGACTAGAATTAACTGGTGGAAGCGCGTAAGGGATTCCCCGGAACGCGAACCCGCCATCTTCTAACACTCCCTGGACCGGACCGCAAGATGTCGACGCTTCCACTTTTCCGTCCTTCACAGGCGCCTTGATCAGCTGTTGAGGACCCGCGCAGGCTACGCTTATTATTATTATCGTGATCAGCAGGATTAGAATCACCGCAGCTGTAAGTATTATTATTTATTTATTATTTACCGTCATATTTTATTAATTAGTATGAGTTATGATGTTACCAGTGACGAGGCGGTTTCGCCGAGCGACGGCGATCCAGATGGCCAATGGGCTGCTCTTAGACGGCGGCTCGTCGGTGGTATCCCCACCACCGTCTAACCTCACCGTCTCCATCCCATCCTCCGGGTCGGGTTTCTCCCCACCTTCGCCTAGGGTTTCCACGCTCGCCAACCCCGCGGTTGCTCCTAACTCCGCGTCGGTTTCCTGGAATTGGTTGCAGGTGAGGTGAGTTTTTTTAAATTGAATATTTTATTATTGATTTCAAGGTTTTGGTATTGAAAATACACCCATAGTATAATAACGTTTTTTTTACGAAATTTTCTAAGCTATAATTTTAGGCTCTTAGTTTTGACCTAAAATCAATATTTTAGGAGTTATGGCAATTTTTGTAACTCCAAAATTACAATTTCCAGTTTTCTACTACGTAATTACTATTTAAATTACTATATCTCCTAAAATATTAAAGATAAACCTATAGTATGATGACATTTTTAATAGGAAATTTTCTAAGCTACAATTTTGGTCTCTTAAAAATTTCTCCTAAAATCAATATTTTAGGAGTTATGACCACTTTTATAGCAACTAAATCATAATTTTTTATTTTTCATTATAGTCACTCCTAAAGTTCCTATATCTCCTAAAATATTGAAGATAACCCTATAGTATAAAAACGTTTTTGATAGGAAATTTCCTAAGCTACAATTTCGTTCCAACAATTTTTTCCTAAAATCAATATTTTAAGAGTTAGAGCCACTTTTATAGTTCCTAAATAATAAATTTTAATTTTTCACTTCCTAGTCACTCCTAAAAGTTCCTATATCTCCTAAAATATTAAAAATAGACCTATAGTATAAAAACATTTTTCATCGGAAATTTTGTAAGCTACAATTTTGTTTTTACAATTTTTTTTCTAAAATCATTATTTTAGGAGTTATAGCCACTTTTTTATTCCCTATACCTTAAATTTCTCTAAAAAATTTTCTCTTTTAACTACCAATTATAAACAAAAAAATCTAATTTCTTCCATGATAATCTCTCTAATTACTTCCTCTGCTTCCCCTCCCCCCTCCCCACCCACTCAGTAGACCTATCATTAAAAAATTCCTGAAAATTTTCCCCTGAACTCAACCGGAAGCTAAAAATACCCTTCACATCAAAGTACAAGTCATGTCCGTTGGATCAATACCTCAGAAGTTCTCAATCCGTCCTTCTTTCTATCCAACCCACTCTTTAGGTCTTCGAACTCTGACTGAAGATGAAGATAAATAGTTAAAAAAAGCCGACTCACCTTTTTTTTCTTCGGAAAAACCGAAACGAGGGGCAACCTGATGGCATTTAAAATTCCCCTGCGCTCCTTTTCCTTCTCTTTAGCGGGCGTTGTCTTCTCCGGGGGGTTATCTTCTTTAGCTCCGTCGGCTCCGGCTTCTTCAGGAGTTCCCTCAGGTTTTCCCTCCTCCTGTTAATTATATAATTTCATTGTACTTTATAACTCTGTCTAGCATTCCGTCCATTATTTAAAACAATCGTAACCCCTCATTATCATCCCGAGGTTGTCATTCCGGAAACATTCCCGACAGTGATGTAGGAAAAAGGTTATTTTCCGCTCCGGTGAGCTCACACGAAAAAATTTTCAAAATTTCAACAAATTTATAGCTTCTGGTCAATATTTTATCGTTTATTGTCAAAACGCGGGACTAATTTTTCTAAATGGTCACAATGACTATAAAGGTGTTTAGTGTGTAGTTGACGTTCAATAAGCTCCCGCTGGGTCTTTCATAACAGTCTTTTATAGAAAATAGACCCCTGCTTTCATGAAATATGATGACTTTCTTTGCCATATGGTTCAATTATTTTTAAGGACAAATGACCTTGTATCTTGTTAACAATTGACATTTTTAAAGATATAAGCTCATCCTGACATTATACTCATCAAGACCTTTCATTTGAGTACCCACATCAATTTTTCATATATTTTATATATTTATATATATTATATATATATGTATATATGAAAAATATATCAAAATTGCAAGTGGATACTCATATGAAAGGTCTTGATGAGTATAATGTCAGGATGTATATATTATATATATATGTATATATGAAAAATATATCAAAATTGCAAGTGGATACTCATATGAAAGGTCTTGATGAGTATAATGTCAGGATGAGCTTATATCTTTAAAAATGTCACTAAATCACCAGATACAAGGTCATTTCTTAATTATTGACATTTTTAAAGATATAAGCTCATCCTGATGTTACACTCATCGAGACCTTTCATTTGAGTACCCACTTGCAATTTTGATATATTTTTCGTATATACATATATATAATATATATAAATATATAAAAAATATATCAAAATTTAATTAAATATAACATTAATGTTATTAAATTTAAAAAAAAAAAATTATTTTCAAAAATTACATTTTTTAGTTTTAAATATTTTTTTGGGATAAATTTTTTAAAATTATTAAATATATGCTAAATTAATTTTCATTAGATTTTTTTATTTTATCAGTGCAATTTTATTTAAATAAAAAATTTACTTCAATTTTACCTGCCAAATTTTACAATAATAAAGATATTCAATTCATTCAACACCTTAAAAACTTTTTTTAAATTCAAATTTTATTCGCGCTCTTTTCTGCCATTTTGCAAACTCCCGCCATTTTGTCGTACAATTAATCCCAACACATTTTTTGCCGTTTTCAAGCTCTTTTTACATCAAATTAAAATTTTTTTTTTACAAAAATAATTTAATATAAAATAATAATATATTTTTTACTAAAAAAAAAAAAAAAAAACATTTTTTTTCGGTCAAGCAATTTTTTTTTCTAGAACCCTAAAAAATTATTTATATTAAAAACGATGACTCGGTAATTTCAAAATAACGGAATTTTTTTTTAAGTGAGCCCCCCTTGAATATTTTTATATTTTCACAGAAAACAACTTAGGAATGATTTATTATTGATAAAAAATTGTAAAGTATAATTCTTGTACGGTGTTTAATTTATAAACAAAATAAGGTACAAGTAAAACAAGTCCTTCCTGTTACAAGTATCCGAGCAATGTGATACTGCAAACGGACGCAACCCGATATTTTTATAAAGTAAAGAGTAAACCGAAGAATATTAAATAAAACCCTGCTACATACTAACTAGTCTTACTGCATGTAGGATGCTTTGTACGTTACGAGAATAGCCATATATTTTTATTGTGGCTGTTTTTATAGTGACTAAATCATAAATTTTCGTTTTTTAATAACTATCCGGGAAAAAGGATTATTGATAGGAAATTTTTTAAGCTATAATTTTAGACTCTTATAATTTTTTTCTAAACAATATTTTAGGAGTTACAGCGATTTTTCTACAAAATTCAGCTACAAAAATTTTATTTCTGATCTAAATTTTTTTTTTTTCAAAGATATTAATGACACATACCGTCTTTTATATTATATTAATACAATTAATACAATGTATTTATATAGATCATAACAGTAAGGCTTTTATATAACTGTATAAGTAACTGTAGCGAATACGATTAACGTAATCGTCACCACTTTCTTCGTCAATTAAGCTTATAATAAGACGGATCAAGCCAATTAACTGCCGACTCATTTCTAAATTAAAAATTCTTCCTATTTTTAATTTAAAATATTTAAAGATTATTTTTTTTGTTAAAAAAAAATATGTTTTATAAACGAAAAAAAAATAATTACCCGATAACAAGGATAAAAATAATTTATAGTGTTCTCACGGGTGATTTGCCACAAAATAAAACCCTACAACCTACAACGTCCCTTCAATCGGTCCCCCCCCCGGGTTCTCGAAAGGGGGCAAAAAAAGATCCGTAATGTGACGTCAGATCGCACCTGGCGATCGATCCGGTTTTTCATAAAATAACACGCACGTCCTTTGTATCAACTGGTATGCCATTATTTAAACATTATATATATTTATGTATTACATCCTTGTACTCTTATATTTGGTACTACCTTTCATTATTATTATTATTATTATTATTATTATTAGAAAAAAAAATTAAGTTTTTTTATTAATAATTACAATCTTGACTCAAAATTTTATTATTATTTTTTTTTTAGTTTAATCATTATTTAGAAAAATTATTAAATTTTTAATATTAATAATCTTAAGTCAAAATTTTATTATTATTATTATTATTATTATTATTAAAGAAAAAAAATTATCAAATTTAAAATAATAATAATCTCGAGTTAAAATTTTATTATTATTATAATTACAATTATTCTTATTATTTTTTTTACTATTATTATTATTTTGGAAAAATTATTAAAATTTTAATAATTTTGAGCCGAAATTTTACTATTATTATTATTAAAGAAAAAATTGATGAATTTTTAATAATAATAATCTTGAGTCAGAATTGTGTTATTATTATTTTTATTATTATTATTATTGTAATTACCTTGCAAGTCTCCTTGCTTTTAGATCGACAGAACCCAGGCATCTTTATTCCTCCAATTGGGATCTTTTTCTTAGGTTTCTCTTCAGATTCAAGATCGGGAGCTGGAGCCGATCCCGAATGCTTTGTGTTCTCTTCATTCAGCATTTTCTCTCGCTCTTCCTCAGCTATTTCTTTCTTATCCATACTTGCGTCTTTTTCTTCTTGACTCATTACTTTTTTCTGTAATTATAATAATTTTTATTATTATCATAATTGCTTTTATCATTATTAATAGTAAATGTACATCTCAAGGACTTATAAAATTTTTATTAAAATCGGATAAATATATAGTTCTTAAATATAAGATATTAATAAAAATTACGTTACATTGATTATGAATGTCAATGTAGTCAAAAAATGATTATTATCCTATAAAAAGCCTTTTAAATTTAGATTTCAATATAACAATAATAATATTAATGATAAATAATAATATTAGTAACTAAAACATTGACTAAAAATGCTTCTGCATTGATTTTGAACGTCAAAAAGCAGAGTGGAAAATGTTTAATTTTAATTAAGTACTAAAGTTTAATTTGTAGATAATTTTTGTTATAAATAATGAAAGTAATTATTAAAAGTTGAGAGTCATAGGCCTAAATTTCTCACGATGACTCCCTCATGACTATTACGATGACAAACTACCAAATTTAAAAGTCGACGCGTGCGACAGATGCTTGGCACGTGTGATACTCGCGGATGCTATTAAAATTTTTACTCCATATTTTTACTTGAATTATTAACCTTTAGAAAATATTTCCTTTTAATACATCCACTTAAAAGCTCTTAAAATCTTTCATTAAATTTCTTAAAATTATTTTTGGTGATGAATTTTATAAATTCTCCTATAAAACAAATTTTTTTAGAACAATTAAAATCAAGTATGATAAAATAATTTTGCAAGCTTAAGTGAAAATTAAATTTTTTAACTAAAAATTGAAAAAAAAAAATTAAAAATTGACTAAAAAAATTATTTAAATAAAGAATTTAAAATTTGATAACAAATTTACTGAAAAAAATAAATAAATTTTTTTTTAATTTAAAATTCACCAAAAACTGAAAATGATTAAAACAAAAAATTTAAAATTGACTAAAAAAAATTATTGTTTAATTTAAAATTCACAAAAATTATCAAAATAAAGAATCTAAATTTAACTTACAAAAAAAAATAAAATAAAGACTCTATAATTAACTTAAAAAAATTAAATAATATTTTTTTTAACAAAACTTTAAAAATTGACAAAAAAATAAAACAAATATTTTTGTAAAAATTTTAAAATTTACAAAAATACTCAAAAAAAAAAAAAAATCCAAACAAAGATCTAAAATTAATTTTAAAAAAATAAAATTAATATTTTTTTTAATAAAATTGCCAAAAAAAAATTATTAAAATTTTTTTTTTCCAAAATTTCAAGACTTAAAAAAATAAAACAAAAACACTGTCACTATAACAAAGCCAGGAAATAAAATCTAAAAAAAAATCTCCTTAATAAAATTAATTAAAATTACTACCAAAATTGCAGCGGCTACTGACAATTTTTTTTTATTAAAATCAATAGTTAAAATAAGATAAATATCCTATTCCCCTGCAAAAAACATAATAGCAAAGGAGACTAGAGAGTCGGTTTGCACCGTTTGCACGAAGGGTGACGGCCTGACGGGCGATGGCGCCAAGGGGATCGCATCGCGTTCGGCGTCGCGACGCCAACGTTTAGTTGTTATCCACCACAACGGCAACACTGCTCAACATATCCACCCCAGGGAATATTTTTATCCGTAAAAATAAACACTAAAATACTCCTTTGGTTGTCATGACTATCGATTTCACAAAAGCGGAAATTTTTACTTAAATTATTAAAAATAAATTTATTTAAATTTATTCTAGACTCCAGAACCTTAAATAATTTTTCGAAATCAAGAAAATTAATTAATAATTAATAATTATTAAATAAAAAAAAAAAAACTTACCAGAAATTGCGCACTAAAAAACTTTTTAAGTAACAAACCGGTACCGCGAAGCTCGAGCGACTGAAGAAGACTGAAGAAGACTGAGAAGCCTGCTGGAAATTGGAGAAAGCTAACCACCGGAAGAGACTATGGGGGGATGCTTTTTTTATATCAAAGGGATTAGTAATTGAAGCGCGCTGCGCGCGCTTCTACGTCACGCATGCGTTTGTAATTTTTATAAATATAAACACAAAAAGTATAATTACTTTTTTTTTTTTTTAATTTTCATTATTCTAGAAGACCGTTAGAGTATTTAAGCTAACGGTCCGTATTGCCCACTTAACAGCTGATTTAATTATTTATGACACTCAATTGTTAGAACAATGGAGTTTAGGAGCGATACCACACCCTTTGTTTTAGCCAGTTCATTGTTTTTTAGAGAAATGACCTTGTATCTTGGGAAATATTGAGATTTTTAAATATATAAGCTCATCCTGAGATTATACTCGTCGAGACCTTTCATTTGAGTACCCACATGAATTTTTCATATATTTTATATATTTATATATATATATATATTATATATATGTATATATGAAAAATATATGAAAAGTGCATGTGGGTACTCAAATGAAAGCTTTTGATGGGTGTAATGTCAAGATGAGCTTATAAATTTAAAAATGTCAATATTTAAGATAGTACAGGGCAATTTAATAAATATCTTGTGAACTACTGACATTTTTAAAGATATAAGCTCATCCTGAGATTATACTCATCGAGACCTTTCATTTGAGTACCCACATGCACTTTTCATATATTTTATATATTTATATATATTACATATATCATATATATATGTATATATGAAAAATATATAAAAAAGCATGTGGGTACTCAAATGAAAGCTCTTGATGAGTGTAACATCAAGATGCGCTTATATCTTTAAATTCGTGAATAGTTAAGAAAGTACAGTGAATTGAAACTCAAAAAACATATAAAATATAAATAAATTTATTAATCAAAATACATTTAAGAAAGTTACTTTTTAAAGAAACTCTGAAAATAATTTCCGTCTCCCTTTGTAGCTTGTTTATTTATTTCCTTGTGGCGGTCTCTGGATACTATTTCTTCAATTACTTCACCGTCTCCTTTAATTAACCTGCAACAATTATCATTATTATTATTTTTTTTTTTAACTTTTATTATTATTAATTAAAAAACATTTCTTAATTTTTAATAATAATATTCTTAAATCAAAATTTGATTTTTTTATTAGTATTATTATTATTATTATTAATTTTATTATTAAGACAAGAAGAGAATAATAAAAACAGTGTTCTATGGGATAGTTTTAATGAAGTTACTGAGGAACAGGTAGATAAAATTATAAAGAATTTAGATATTAAAAAGGGTTCGAAGAATGAGATAAATGCTAGAGTTATGAAATTTATTTGGGAAACAGAGAGAGACATTGTACTATTTATCTTAAATAATTCTTTAAAATTGGGCAAGGTGCCAGATAGTTGGAAGGTTGCTACGGTAATACCTATTCAGAAGAAAAAAGATAGCATTGAAGCTGGTGACCTTAGGCCCATCAATACATTGCCTATTTTTGAGCAAATCTTGGAACAGATAGTTAAAGATCAACTAGATAAATTTATAACTGAACATAACATCTTAAATTCAGAACAATCAGGTTTTCGTAAGTCTCATTCCTGCGAAACGGCTCTGCAAAATTGTTTTATTGAGTGGAGGAATAGTCTTGACAAAGGTCTGCTTACAGGCTTACTTTGTATCGACTTTTCTAAAGCCTTTGAAACAATTAACAGAGCCAAATTGCTAAATACTCTTGAAGCATTAGGGATAACAGGAACAGTAAAAGATTGGTTTAGTTCGTACCTTTCAAATCGAAAGCAAAAAGTTCAATATAGAAATACTGTTTCAGATCAGATAGATATAGATGTTGGTGTTCCTCAAGGCTCAAAGTTAGGTCCAGTACTGTTTCTATTATATATAAATAATGTAGTTAAATTATTTGATAAAAGCGGTGTTGTATGTCGTTTATTCGCAGATGATATGGCTTTATATTTTTCTAGTCGACATTATCAAATTATTGAAAGCAAACTTAACAGAGTATTGACTTTATTAAATTCATGGTTAATAGAAATGCAGTTGAAAATTAATATAGAAAAGACCATTTTCATGATAATTCACGATCATAGAATAAAAGATGCGAGAGGGAAATGTAAGATTATGTTAAATGGTGTACAAGTAAAAGAAAAGAAAAAAACTAAGTACTTGGGAATTATGATAGATGATAATCTATCGATGAAAGAGAACGCATTGTATACTATTAATAAAGTCGCAAAGAAAATAAATATGTTGGGTCGTTTAGGTAGTAATGTAACACATTATACAAAAGTCATTATATATAAAGCAATTATTTCACCACATCTAGAATATTGCAGTACCTTAATGATCAATTATAATCAACACCATTTAGATATTCTACAAAAGCTACAGAACCGTGCAATGCGTGTAATATTAGAAGTTAGTAAATACACTAAAATTAGCTTAATGTTGGAAACCTTGGGATGGATGACGATAAAGCAGAGAATTTTATACAATACACTAATAATGATTTTCAAAATGATTAATAAACTAACACCTACTTATCTATTGGATACAATTATAATAGCTGGTGATAGACACAATTATCACACTAGGAATAGCGCTAAATTACATATTAATCATACTAGAACACACACTGCTGAAAAGTCAATAACATACCAAGGTTTTCAATGGTACAACAAAATACCGGATAACATAAAAAAAGAAAAAACACTGAATAGTTTTAAGCGTGCCCTTAAAATTTATGTAAAAACTTGTGATAATTGGTCTGTGAATTAAATTATTAAGTTTGAAAAGACTGAAAAAGAACAAAACAAAGCGTAAATTTATCTTATATGTAACAACAATATTATTTTATTTATTGTATTTATGAGAGCTCATTTTTAATTGTTAAAATAAGAAATTCTATGTAATCACATGTTAAAAATTATTTCAAAATATTGTATGACAAATAGCTGATGCTAAAAAATAAATATATTATTATTATTATTATTATTATTATTATTTTGAAAATTTAAAAATTGATTAAATTTTTAATAATAATAATTCTGAGCTAAAATTTTATTATTATTATTATTATTCATCTGAAATAAGATTCATGTAATTTAGATGTTCTTAATATCAACACAATAATAATAATAATAATAATAATAATAATAATAATAATATTGAAGATACCTGTATCTTCCAGTAGATTCGTCAAGAACCCTCCTAACAACACTCTGCCTTTTCTCCCATTCTTCCTTTGTCATAGGCGCCATAGATCTCACCTCAGTCTTATCCTCTTGATCGGACTTGTTGTCCTCAATCACCTCCAACTGCTCCTCGGCGTCTTTAATTACTTCTTTTTCCTTTCTTTTCAGTTTTTTCTTAAGCTTTTTCATCTTTTTCTTTATCTTCCTTTTGTCCTTCTTATACTGCTTCTTTCTCTTTCGCTTTTCTTTCTCGGAATCTGAACCTGAACTTGAACTAGAACTCCGTTTTCTTTTTTTCGGCTTTTCTTCAGGTGATTTATCCATCTACAATTGTTAGTTTTACTTTTAGTCTTTAATAAATCACTTCGAGGAGAAATTTTATAGTTTTATTCAAGGTACAAATTTCTATTTTGTTTAGTAAGTTTTTACAATCTCTAATTATTTTCAGTAAGTTTTTAAAATTAGTTTATTTATTTATTATTTTATTAATAATAACTATCATAATTTTTTTTGACATTTAATAATTTTTAGAATTTTTTTTTATTGAAAAAATGATTACAAAAAAATTAAAAAAAAATTCCACTTGTAAAAAACTTTAAAAACTGTAAGTGCAATTTTAAAAAAATATTTTTTTCTTATAATTTAATTGTTAAAAAAAAAATCAAAAAATTAAGTCGGCTAACTTTAGTATTATAAATTGGCCGACAGCGAAAAATTTTTATTAATTAAATTAGCAATAAAAAAATATTTTTAAAAAATTGCACTTATAGTTTTTTAATTTTTTACAAGTGCAATTTTTTATTTTAATTTTTTTGTAATAATTTTATTAATAAAAAAAATTTTGAAAACTTTCAGCTGTGCTAATTTTATTTTCATCTTTTTTTCGGTGTAGGAGTTATAGACACTTTTAATAATTGAATATTATTTTTTCGATTAAAACAATTTTTTTTTCTTATAATAACAAATAAATATTTTATTATTATTGAAACCAAAAAATAAGTCAAACCTCCAAAAAAAAATTTTCCACTTTTATTTACCAAAAAATATTTTTGTCCAAATAAACACAAAATTGACAACAAAAAAAAAACATTTATTATTCTGACATACTTACATTGCAGCAGATTAATAAACTCCTTTCCAAAAACTTTGAGCACCTAAAAAAAGACCAAAACAAAAATTCATAAATTAAATTCCAAAATTCTAAAAAAATAATTGAAAAAAAAAATTCTAACCTTTTTTTTATTTATTTTCAGTAATTATAGAACCTTCAACACCTTTACAGTAGGAAAGAACACTGAGAATTTTCCCGCAGCGCCTCTAGTGTCAAAAAATGCAACTAGGTAGCTAGAACAGTTATTATTATTATTATTATTATTATTATTATTATTATTATTATTATTATTATTATTATTATTATTATTATTATTATTATTATTATTATTATTATTATTATTATTATTATTAATGACACTGAAGTTAACAGATCTTAAAAATATTTTATAACAATTAAATAATAATAAAAAAAAATTAAATAAAAATTTTTACAAGTAAAAATTAATAAAAAATTACAAGTTAAAATTTTTAGAAGCATTTTTTTATTGTAATTAATTTATTAAAAAAATTTTATTAAAAAATTCTACAAGTAAAAATAAATAAAAAATAGCAAGTGAAAATTTTTAGAAGCATTTTTTTATTGTAATTAATTTATTAAAAAAAATTTTTAATAATAAAAAAAAATTCAATTAAAAAATTAATAGTGAAAATTTTTAAAAGGATTTTTTTATTGTAATTAATTTATTAAAAAAATTATTTTAAAATATAAATTAACAGCCGGCGACGGCTAACTTCAGTGTTATGATTATCATTATTGTAGTTTATTATTATGATTATTGTTGTTACTCGGGTCGGATTTGACAAGAGTATAAAAATGGCGGTGATGTGAAATGGCAGGACGACGGTCTGTTCTAGCGAGCGTTGAATCCTTATCAGGATCTCTCGGGAACCAGCACAACAGCACGCCGATCACCAGCAGCTTGACGAGCAGCAGCCCCGTTGGCGGCAATGCCATTGTCAGCTCAGATCCGCTACAAGAGTTGTTTGACGCCTGCAAGAATGGAGATTTACCACGTATCAAGAAGCTGGTAACCCAAAAAACTGTCAACGCTAGAGATACTTCCGGGAGAAAATCAACGCCTTTGCATTTTGCTGCTGGTGAGTTTTTATTATTATTTTTATCTATTTTTTTATTTATTTTTTATATTATTTATGTAATTTTTGTTAGCAGTCAGCTGATTATTTTTTTTTTTTATTTTATTTATCAACAAATTAATTTAATAAAAATTTATTCAGCATAGGGTAAATGCACCAATTATTGACCGATTAAGGTTTTCTTTTTCTGTACTAAGCTATAAAAAATCTATTAACCAATTTATAATGGATTTTATTAAAGTTAAATACTTAATCAATAATAATTAATAACTATTTATAATAAAAATTAACAAAATTATATTAATTTTGTTATTTGAATGTTCAAATACTAGAATCACCAATTATTGACCGAATAAACCCAATAAATGACCGACCGTTCTTCAATTAATTGACCGCTCAAACAATTATAAGTAATTTTGTAAACTACATGTATGTAATTAAATATATGCAGTACTTTTAAAGTATTAACGACATCTTTAACAAAACTTAACATACAATATAATTTTAAATCGTACTTTTTTATAAAATAATATAAATAATAGCAATAATTAACACAAAGTCACATTTCTTTAGGTCACAAATTCATTTTGATGACGATAATTCTTCTGATTAACTTGAAATTTTTTTATACTTCTCCTTCTTTTTTTCAATTAAAGATTTTTTACTAGCTTGTAACTCTTTTTTATTTTTTTAATTGCTCAGCAATTTTTTCTTCTAATAATTCATTCTTTGATATAACCGTTCACTAAAAAAATTAGAACAAAATAAAATTTAATAATCAAAAAAGATTTTAAGTATTATTTTAATTATAAATATACATTTTTTATAATGATTATTTTTATATTTACAAAATATATTGAATGACTAAAGTACTTTAAAAACTTGACAGATTTAATTTTG